TTCAAGAAATCAGATCTGTCAGGACGGGCGAAAAAAATGCCACTTCCCAACTAACAGGCGGAATCCAGCCCAGATTTTCAGTCCTTTCTTCTTCTTTTTTTCCTTCCTCCCTTTCACTAATTTATCCCGATGTTAGCACATTCTGTCTTGTAACACCCGGGCGCCTGTAGGTTTGTTTCATGGGATCATTACTTACTGATCAGGATGGCTCCCAGGTCCGGGGCTGAAGACGGAGTGTGAAGTTGGGGAAACATTTTTTTTTTTTTTTTAAATTACTATGATGATTATTACCTCTCGGTGCTTATTCAGGAAAAGCAAACAAACAAAAATCTGGTCCTTGAGGCTTCAGTTCTGAATGTGAAATATTACCTACCAGCTGCTAAAGTTGTGAGGCTCAGCAATTTTTTTTTTTTTTTCTTAAGCAAGGAGGAAAAAAACCTAAACAAACAAAAAAAGGACTTCTGATCCGTGTGCCAAAGTAGGGGGAGATATGTTATTGACCGATTTATACTGGCTGAGATGATACTTGCTTTCTACTTTTTGATCACTTGCTCTTTAAGTAAAATGAGGCACAGAGTTGTTGCTGAGACGAGTGGGAACAGCATTTTGATTTGCTGGTTTAATTAAAAATGATAAAGGATTAAAGGTAAGCATTATGCATATATATGTATAAATATTTCGACAGTCGACTGTAAAAGGGAGAGATCCCTTTAAAAATCGTTTTAACTAAGCTTTGTCAAACACACACTCATTTGCGGTCACTGAGGCCACCTTGGTGCAGATCACTTAAAGTGTATGTCTTAATCAGTTTCCTGTACAGTCAGTAATACTATATTTAACAGACCTAACAATTGTGTGACCTAGGAGTACATTAGAACTGCTTTTAGAACTGTTATCTTGAGAATTTTTTTTTAAAGAAAAAAGACCTTTTTATTACTTTTCTTCTTTTTTCTTTAACCTATGGAGTTTAATATTTTCCAGTAAAAATTTGTGTTTGTAGGTTGTTGGTTTTTAACAGAAGCTGTATTGTGGCAAGGAAAATCAGGTTTCCCACTTCCCTTAGCGCTCGCTCTTCCCCCCCCAAGAGATTAAGTGGAAGGGGGGTAAAAGGTAATATAGGAGAGTCACAAAACTTCAAGGGTCTGGTTTAAAGCCACAAAATCCATGGAATGCAGTGAAGAGTGAATGTGTGTCCTTCCTTTTCTCCCTTTCGTGCCTAGGTGGTGGTCCAAGGGGTTAGATTACAACATGTGCTCCAACAGCTAGGCACCACTTCTGAGACTGTATTTCCTGAGCTTTGTGGATTTAAATCATGTAGTTAATTTTTCCTTTCTTTTTTTTTTTTTTGCTTTTTTGTGGACATGACTTTTTAAGAGAGATTGTGGATGTTGGTATACAACCAGATTAAAGACGCTCACTATAAAAACATCACGGCCATAGCCTCCGGTTTAACAAACTTAAGAAAAAAACGTAGCAACGGGGAATGATTTCGCTCCCCCTACCTTGCCCCCTTTTTATTAGTCGTATTATATTCTGGTTAACACCAAGACAAGAAATATTTGACTTTTCCCCTCCTCACAGGACAAGGCGGACGTGGACGGCGGGTTGTGAACCTAGACACACCTGGGGGAGGAAGACAAGAAGACTTGAACTTAAGAGAGCCCAACGGAGATAAACGAATGTCCCCACATCTCCAAAGGAAAGTTCATCGGATTTTTACTCTAGAGATCTCATCTTCAGGATGTCATTGAACACTTCCACTGCAGGAAAAGGTGTGGATCCAAATGCGGTTGACACTTATGACAGTGGCGATGATTGGGAAATCGGTGTTGGGAATTTAATAATTGATTTGGACGCCGATTTGGAGAAGGACAGACAGAAATTTGAGATGAGTAATTCTACTAATACCACCAGCAGCAGCAACACCAGCTCCAAGGATTGTGGGGGTCTGGCTTCCAGTGGGGCTAATGCTACCTCAGCCTTAGCTGATGGCCTAAAATTTGCTTCTGTTCAGCCCTCTGCTCCCCAGGGGAATTCCTCTCACAAAGAGACTAGCAAATCAAAAGTGAAAAGGAGTAAAACTTCTAAGGATGCTAATAAATCTCTGCCTTCTGCTGCCTTGTATGGGATTCCTGAGATCAGCAGTGCTGGCAAGAGGCAGGAAGTCCAAGGGCGCCCTGGAGAGGCAACTGGCATGAATTCAGCACTGGGTCAGAGCGTGAGCAGTAACCCAAACGGCAATAATAACACCACCAGCAACACCACCACCATTGCCTCTTGTGGGAAAAACAAAGAGGAGAAACCAGGTAAAACCCCGGGCAGCAGAGGCTCCAAGCGGGATAAGGATGCGGGAAAATCCAGGAAGGACAAGCAGCATGACCTGCAGCAGGGCCACCCCAATGGCAGTGGGGGTGGCGGCAGCCAAGCTCCCCCTGGGCACCTCTATGGCTTCGGGGCCAAGGGAGGCGGTGGTGGAAGCAGCAGCCCCTTCCACAGCACCTCCTCTGCTGTGGGGGAGGTGAGCAAAAGTACCCCGGATCCAGGGTTAATGGGGAACTCTATTTTGGTAAAGAAGGAAGAGGAGGAGGAGGAGAGCCACAGGCGAATCAAGAAATTGAAGACAGAAAAGGTAGGACAAAGCTCCTCTCCACCTCTCCTCTTCTTCCGTGTCTCCCTGTGTCTATAATAAATGTCCCACAACTGTGTGTTTGGCTCCTGTGTCCTTCTCTCTGCTGTGTATTTGTGACATGCATCTGTTCTTCCTCTTTCTCTTTAAAAAAAAAAAAAAAAGGAACAACCCCAAGACCTCTTCCCTAGACGGAAGACACCATGTTTTGAGTGTGCTGCTCTTCCTTACGATTTCCTCTCCGTGTCCTTGGACCTGGAGAACGTTTCTGTTCTGTCTGTTCCTTCTGATTGCACTCACCCAGAAGGAGAAACCCCAAGATGACCCTGACTGAGCTGTCCCCGGTTTTAGCAGAGAGCAGCAGAGTGTTGGTGCTGGTAGGATGGCATGTGTTTGCAGGCTGGAGGTCCATGTGTTTGCCTAGGGTGTTGTGTAGCTCCCCTGTATGTACTGACACTTTTCCACAACACCGGTGGGCATTTGCGGCCATTCCTCTCTCAGAGTCTAAAGGGATCCCTCTCCCTTCTCTTCTGACCTGCTGTCTGGAGTTGAGCTTGTTCCTTGGGGGGCAAAACCAGGGGGCATCAGCAGAGACCCGGGCTCCGCCGCTGCGCTTCGTGGAGATGCAGGATGCTTATCGTACTGGGGGCTCCTGTGGTGCAGCAGCCCAGAGGCCCCAGAAGCTGGTGTGGAGGACGGCGGGGAGGAAGGAGCCAGCAGACAGGCGGTGCCTCTCATCTTCCTGGAAGGAGGAGGCTGGGAGGAGGGGAATGCACCTTGTGCTGAGATGCCTGTTGCAAAACAGCTTTTGGAACAGAGGGGAGCGGTTTGTCTCCTGTCTGGGGGAGCCTTCCTATCGGAGCCACGCTGGCTCTTGGATGTGAACTGCTCGTTTGTTGAGTGGTTGAAATGTGTGAAAGAAATCAGATGGGGGTGTGTGTTTTTTCTTCCTTTCTATTACATTACAAGGATACTTTCTGTAAGAATAGATGGCCATGACTCTGTTCTTCGGGAGGGGTGGAGGGAGAGCTTGGCTTTTGTTAACTGCGGGTCCAAGGAGGTTCTGGTGTCGGCAGGAATTGCGCTGTTGGTAGGGCAGAAGGCTTCTTCTGGGGGACCTGGGAGAGAGCATCGGCCCAGGATTAGCGGTCCGATGAATTCTACAGGTTGTTAAACACAGATAAGCTGGGCTGCCTGAAAAGTAAAGCAATCCAACACCTCCCAAATGAACAATCTCAGGGTGTTAGATTGTGACTTTATTGTCAGCTCTTGGTCTTGAATTACCTGCTTTTACAACTTTCCCCGGTTGAATGTTCAGCGATGGGAAAACTTTCGGGTTGGTGTTAACTGTATGGTCTGCAAGTGTCTGGGAGGGCTGAAGGTCTCAGGGAAAAGTTATGTCTTTTTATGACCCGTTACCGGCTTTTTTTTGTATTTCGGTCATGGTGACGTTTTTGTAATGTTTAAGTCGACTGGAGGATTAGATTTGGGTGTTCGTGACATCAGATATTTCTTAAAACTGGAAGATAATTTCAAGGGCTTATGTTCAAAGCAAGGAACAAATTAAATTTCATATTGTATGCATATTATTGCTTTTAAGATAGCATATCTATGGATGAATTTGAATGAGCCTTGTGACCTTTTCTAAATGCAGATGAGAAAATCAGATTGCTGCAATTCATGTGTATATGTTTGCACTTTTGATTTATGAATGTTCCGTTCGCGGCAGAAAGGTGTCCTAAAATCTCACGGTCTCTTTATTAACTTAGTACAGTAGGCATTTACTTCTGTTGCCAATAGTCTTCAAATTGCAGTTCTCTAATCTGTTTTAACTATCTAGATAAATTGCCCTAATCCGGTCTTCACAATGGCTGTGGTTAAAGAGTCAGAGCCATTTGATTGGATTCAGTGGCTGCCTGGAATGTGGGAGGTACTGCCCTTTTGCAACCCCCTTAGCCTTTTAATCTCTCAGCCAAATGTTCACATTCAACAATTTTGTTTAGCTGGCAATCTGAACATTTCAGTATCTCAAAGGCTGCTGTCATGGCAACAGAGATTAGAGGGTGGTGTGGTTTCTCCCGTTTTTGTGTTCTTTTCACTCTCTAGTCATACAGGAAATTGTATGAAGAATCCATATACATGCGAGTAGTCTTATGTGCAATGTAAATTGGATGGCATGCAAATTCAGAGCAAGTATGTATGGAGAGGTTTAGAGCTAGTGGTGCACTTTGTGTTGTAGTTGTTGCTCCGTGAGGAGGTTTGGAGCTTGCATTTCCAGTAACAGCCACTGCTGTTGGCACACACCGATTTTAATATAGCCGTCGCACATTAGAGTCGTGCAGTGTTGGCTATTGTCTGGCACAATGGTGTGCTTGCTTGCTGTCTTAAATAACATCCCTTAGTATTTCTCTTCGCAAAGAATGTTCCCTTCCAGACACACAATAATAATAAAGCTTACTGCTGACAATGGTTGCAACCTTAAGCCCAGCCTGTGGTACTATTAGTGAAACTTAAGTGTTTTACGTTTGTTGTTCTGGGTTTTTTCCCAAATGTTTAATAATCATTAGAAAGATTTGGTTTTAAGGGGCTTAGATTCGTTAAGTGTTCCTGCCTTGACTGTTTATACACTAGAACGCATATGCTGTACAAAGCACCTTGTGTCTGTAGATAAATACACAATTCCAAGCCTGCATGTTAAAATCAATGTCCAGTTATCTTAATGTTGTGAAAGACATGTCTCATAAATTTGGATGTTTCCTTTTAGATACAAATTAGTTCATGCCTGCTGATCCAAAATCTACAGTTTTTTGTATGTGGTGTGGAATATAATACTGCATTTGTTTACTATTTGTGAAAAGCCTTGGAGCCGATTCCCAGGAGTCGTAGTCACTGTTTAGCTTTCACAGCATGCTTCAATGTCTATTTTTGGTCTATTTATTCTGTTTCCTTGCTGCAGAAAGTCATGTAAAACATGATAAATTGGATCTTATGAAGCCTAATTAAATCAATGACTGTGTTCTGCTGGTTCTTTTATGCAGAAACCGCAAGTATGTTGTAAAAGTCGCCACTCCCCTAATATGTGGATAAAGTCAAAGTATGCTGTAATTCTAAGATGTTTGAGCTATATTCATGCAGCCCATTTTGTGGTTAAGCCACCAGTGACATGTCTGAATAAGTAGCTTTGACAGGTAGGCTAACCACTCCTAAGATTTTTGGTGTTAAAACCTGTCTCCATTTTCCATTTCTCATCCATACCGTTTTTAGCACAGTTACTGACTGTTCGTCAGCATCAACTCTTCATCTGTTTTAGCTGAGGGGGTTTTTTTTGTATTTTTAACAGCTGTTACATTTAAAAGCATTCAGAGTATCTAGAAGAATTTGCTTTGTGTGTGTGGCAGGGAGATTTTGGGATTCAGTCAGTCACAATTTACTCTGAGATACAGAAAAATTGCATTTGGCATGTGAAAATCAGTATGCTTATGTGAAAATAATACAGAAGATACAAAGCCATAATCAGAGGTGTCTGGCTGCAGTTTTTAAGTGAATCAGTCTAGTGATACTCCAGGATTGAATTTTTCTCTTGTATTAGCTTATTGCTTCTCATTAAGACTGCATTTCACCTCTGAAAGTTGTCTTCAGCAAATTAACATGTTGGCTGGGATTGTTTATTTTATCTTCACTTGTTTTTTTAATAGTGGGATTGAGGGTGTTTTACACTTCATCAGGAAACTGTGTGCATTTTACCTATTGATGTAAACCATTTAAGTACGTGCTTTGATTAATGATGTTATGGAGATATGCTTTTCATGTACTTTTCTCCCTGGCCTTGGGTGTAGTTTATTCACTGTGAAATAAAAGGGCAGGGAGGTCACTTGCTGTAATTAAAGAACAAAGTCTATTGTTGTTTGACAGCAAACTGTTTTGAAAGCTACATAAGGGATTTAGCTGTTAAAAACATTGATAACTATGGGTGTCTAACAATAAGCACAGCTCAAGGTTCTTAAAGTTCTGTAGTGCTGTCTAGTAGTGTGACCGTGCTTTTTGAGCTGGGTGAAGAGGTGTTGCCCTTTGGCCCAGGAAAGCTTTCTGTGTGAACCTGCTGACCTCTGCCAATATGTATGACCAGATCTGCTATTGAATTCCTTTGCAAAGCAAGAGTTACCGTAGCACAATGGAGGCTGGTCTAGAACATTTATAAAATAAAGTAGGGAAGCTGATAACCTTATTCGGAACTACTAGAAAAGTATTTCACTTTGGGCATCAGTAATTTTACAATTTTAATAACTTCGTAAATACCCAGTAAAAAGGAAAGGATTGATTGTCCAGATGTCATGAGGTTAACCATGTTCTCCATGTTAAAGGGCTTTGCTGCAAGACTGTTTTAATTATAGCTATATAAAGACTTGTTTTTCCAAAGTAGCATTTTATAGTCCAATAAATGAAATGTATGTTAAAAGTGCTAAGCAAAATCTCCCGTAACCATAGAGGTGTTCAATAACCAGATTCAAGTAACATGGAAACTACCATCTGTTCCTAGTTTTCAACATAAAACCAAGAATTGAATAGCTGAGATTTGCTCATATTTTTTCGACTCTCTTTCTTTTTTTATTATTATTATCATTATTTAAAATAAGTTCACCTGGCACTTTATAGATGCTTTCTGAAATGCAATAATACAGGAGAGACTGTGAAAACACATGTTCGTACATACAGTTAACCAGTTCCACTTTCATTTAAAGAGATTTCCAGAAGCTCAGTCATTGAAGAATTTATAATAGTGAATCACCTCCTGCAGGCAAGTACAATAAGGGTCAGTTCTTCAAAGGTCTTACTATTTAGGTAGAACCTGAATTATTCTGTCAATTTTTCCCTAAGAGGTAAAAGGAAGGGGGGGGAGGGGGAAGCCTCTCAAAGGATAACTTTAGCAAGCTCTTATCAGTCACCTAATTGCATATGATAAAACCATTGGCTAAAATTTTCCATGCAGAGACTTTTCTGCTTTTCAGAGGAGTGTTCTAGAATTGCTGATAGGGGGAAAATTACTCTTTAAAAGATAACTTAAGTTCCGAACTGTTAGGCAATGAGATTCTTGGCTGCAGCCTGTGAGCCCTGGATAAAACGCCATCCGGCCTTTGTTTGAGGTCTTTTACTGAAGCTAATGACTGGTCTTGTGCCGCCCTGAGATAAATGACATTATCTCTGAGTGGTCTGACAGGAAACAGACATGTTAATGGTGAAGCTGCGGGGAGGATCTGCTGCAGCTCTGACAAAAGAGTAAAGCTTGGACCCCTGGTTGCGATCATTAACACTTAATGCGTTCCAGCTTCTCCTACCAGGGCCTTGATAATTGGAAAGCTATTTTATCGACAACAACGTAAATCATAAATCTGAAATGTGTAGTTTTTCTTGCAAGCTCGTGCTTCTTTTTTTTTTTTTTCCCTAAGAAACAAATGATCTAGTTTTTAAAAGGTATCATCTGTAGGCTCCGTAGCACTGACATTTGTGGGAGATTCTGTGGCCTGCTTTCTGTTAATTGGGCACATCCTTGGCATGTTGAATGCAGGTTCCTCTTTGTTTGCTCTGTGTTACAAATGTGAATCGCATGGATAAAAGTAGGCTAAATGCTGTTACTTGAGCGAGAGCATGCCTTGTCCTGTGCTTGCTTTGTAAAACAGGTGTATTGAAAAAAACCCCAACAATCCACAACAGTGAAAATGATGTTTCCTGATGCACCGTTGAGAGTAGGTGGCAGGGTTGGACTTCATGGTACCCATTATAAATTGAAAATTTGACATTGTACAGGGCTGTGCAGATCTGCTTCTGTTTCTCGGTCATGCTGCTTTGCCACACACGCTGGAAAATCCGCCAGCATGTTCTGTACCTGCAGGCCCAATGGATGGCAGTCCCAGTAGCTTGTGTGTACTTTCTAAATTTGCTGTGGTCTCCGTGGTCAATAACTGGATCTCAGAACACTTGTGTATGTCCTGCTGACTACCCAGGCCATCTCAAGACCGTTCCAGTTGAGAACTAGACTGCATGCATCCACTTCTTAAAATCCATTGGACAGGTGGGAGAGCAGGTGTCTGAGATATCCCAAAAAGGTGTGAGGTTAATAATGAGCATGAGATTATATCCCAGCACCCTCTTCTCCCCTCTGAAGCCCCTAAGATTACACGTGTCTAGGAACCACACATGGGATTAAAGGTCAACAAACATAGTCTGTGAAAAAGTAGATGAGAAGACTTGCCTGAGGAGAACCTGTAAAGGAACGGAGTTGGGTGACATAGGCCAAATATGCTTAGAATTAGAATTTCCTTCAAAATGCCTGGTCCATCAGCAGTATCTTGACAGCCTGTGCATGCTTGTTTACCCCTGGAGCCATGGTCTTGGTTGTAATGCTCTTTTGAAGCATTCTTTGTACTTATTTAGAGTAAAAGAGTAAAAAAAAAATCTGTGTTTCTCCACATCTTACATGGTGTTATTGGTACATGTGGTATCAGAGCACATTTTACAAGCATCATCAGGAATACAGTCTCAGAAATACTAACATTTCTGCTATCAGAAACACCACCTTTACATTTATTTTGGATAAAGACACATATATTTTGGATTTCCATCACCCACCCTTGAAAAAAAGGTTAGATTACTTCTGCAGCTACTTAGGCAGCTTTGTGTTATTGCCACATGTTCTGTATTTCTCAGATATAGCACTCACTTTTTGAATGGCATGTCAGCTACATGTTCCAGATTTGTTCCACGGTACACAGTTGGGATCGCTGAATGTAACCAAGTTTTAGAATCAGCCTTGGTCTGAGCTAAGATACTTTGTACCGATGATCCACCAACCAGGTTATTCTTTATGTAATATGTTTAGCACTGTACCACTTTTATATTGGTTGTGTTTCCTTTATACTGCGTTTCCTGAAAAGC